TTTGAAGAGTCTTATAACAGACAAAGTTGGAGTTGTTGAAAGAAAATATAAAGACCAAAGAGTTTGTGAAAATGTTGTAAATTTCATTATGGTTTCAAACAATGCTGTTCCGATGAAGTTAGAAAGTTCTGACAGAAGATATGTAGTTGTCAGAACGTTAGAAGCTCATATGCAAGATACAGAATATTTTGACGACTTAGCAGAAACTTTGACATCTGACTTTTACAACCACTTGTTCTCATATTTTATGACATTAGATATTTCAAAGTTCAATCCAAGACAAATTCCACATACCGAAGAGAGACAAACATTGTTAGAAGCAAACAAGAGTGTATATGAACTGTTCATAGATGAAACTGACTTTGAGTGTTTAGATGAAAGGTCATTGTACGATTCGTATAAACAATATTGTCAAGAGTATGGTTATATGACAGCGTCTAAACGAACATTCTTGGCAAATGTCAAAAGTCTTTTAGACGTTCAGAATGGTGTATATACAAAGAAAAATTTTTCTGAGTAAATTTTAAAAAAAAATATTTTTTTATCCGATAGAAAAGATGACAAAATTCATCTCAGTAAACAAGTACATGTCAGGACTTAAAGAAGAACTAGACCCATTCACATATTTGAATGTTTACTTCTACCATTTTGAAAAGTCTTCATTCAGCAAAGTTTGGAACATCGAACCAGTTAAGTTTGCTGTTGTGACTAAAAATGGTGCGAAATTTGAAGACTTAGACATAGAAGGTTTGTTAGCAGTCAAAGAAAGTTTTGACAGAAGGTTCTCAAAACTCGAAGAAGGTAAAGCATACAAACTTGTTATACCTTATGAACCAAAGAAAGCAGACGACTATGAATATTATGAGTCTAAAGTTGTAGAAGTTCAAGGTAAATTGGGTAAAAAGATTTTAGAGTCTAAGCCAGTGTTTACTCCTAAAGAGGAAGAGAACATTGACATTGACCCAGAAATGTTCTAAAAATAAAATTTTATTTTTACATGTCATATCTCCCCTTCTCTGGAACTGGTTCAGGTTCTTTCTTCTCTTCTTCTACTTTCTTTTCTTTCTTTTCTCTCTTCTTCTTCTGGTGGAGTTATGTCAAACTTCTCAGAACCATATTTTTGTAAAAGTTCTTTGTCCTTTAATAGCTCTTCTATTCTGTTTTCTATTTCATCTTCAAGAACAGTGCATGTGTCTTCTTTGCATTCTAAGAAGTTTTGTTGGACTTCATCTCTCCAAGAGGCGTCATCTCTGTCAACAAGTCTATCATTGACAAATTTTAAGACTTCTCTGCTTAATGTTTTATGGTTCTTGTCATATTCCCAGAAACAGAACTTTAGAACAAATTCACCTTTCTTGTTTACACTATGTAAGATTTTATGGTCGACAGATGTTTTGCTGTCGAAAAGCTTGTCTCGAATATAGATAGCGAAATCGCTAGACATTTTCTAAAAGATAAAAATTTTAATTTTTCTAAAAATATGTTAGAAAAAAAAGTTTGCTGACATTGACAAGAAATTTGAGAATGTTTTAAATAAGAACAAGAGGAAGTTGGAAAATGCTCAGATAAAAACCCATACATGACAAGTTCTTATTTGCTCAGAATGGTATAACAGGTCTAATTGCACCACCTGGGTCGGGTAAGACTTTCACTTATCTTAAAATGGCTGCACAACAACAAGAACTAGATGAGAAGAACCCATTCTATGAGTTAGTTGTCATTTGTAGTACTTCTGGTCAATTTGACCAAACCGTCAATTCGTTCAAAGATATTATAAAGAAGTCTAAGTTAGTATGTATAAAAGACTCTGAGTTGTTAGATTGGATAAAGAAGTACCAAAGAAGAGTTTTGAAGTACAATGCTATAAATGAGTATATAAATTCGAAGTTTAAAGACCCAAATGAGGAAATGCAGAGAATATTAGAGAAGAAACACTTCAGAAACAAACAGAAAGAGATAGAATACATTTCGAAGAAATTGCAATCTTACGATTGGAAGACTTACCCTCACAGATGTCTTCTTATCTTAGATGATTTCGCCTCTCATCCTTTGTTAAAGAACAGAGAACAAGATATGTGTCGAATTCTTAAGAAGCTCAGACACTTTAACATCTCTGTTGTCATTTGTGTACAGACAGCAAAGAGTTTAAGTAAGGATGTAAAGAGAATACTTACTGACATTGTACTTTTCCCCGGATTGTCCGAAGACGATTTCATGGAACTTATGAAAGAGTCCATGGCAGGTAAGTTTGACAGACATGAACTATGGAGAAGTACAAAGTCATACAAGACCCTCATACTTCTTTCAGAATTCACATCTACGCAAACAAAGTTCAAATTGTAAAAAGTCAAGCTTGAAAAATGTAAGTGTTTAGTCTTAGTCTGTTGTGGTGCTGGGGCTGTCGGTTCTTCTGGCTTTGGAAGACATTCAGGAAGAGGAACGTCGGACATTCGTTTGTGTCCTGTCGGATGGAAGAACTTTTTCTGTCGGAAGGAAGAACTTTTTCTGTCTGAAGGAAAAATTTTTTCTGTCGTTCGACCAAAAAGTTCTCAATTTTCGAAAATTTGAATGGTTTACGGACGAACAACAGGAAAATTTTTTCCAGTTGTCAGGAAATTTTTTTCCTGTCTGAAGGAAATTTTTTTTCCTGTCTGAAGGAAATTTTTTTCCTGTCTGAAGGAAGGACTCGGAATGTCGGATGGAAGAACTTGGAATGTCGGATGGAAGGACTCGGAATGCCAGAAGGATTTGACAAGACAATTTACCTTATAGAGCTACCTGAGCCATCTGAAGTCAAGCGTAAAATAAAAATAAATGGTTCATTTACTCTACTTGTTGAAGTTGTCAAAATACTCTGTTATTTTTTCCTTCAGTAGCGGCAAATCTTCTTTGAAGGTAAGTATTGTACAACCTTTAATATCATAGTGTGTTTGAGGTAAAGTATCTTGAACTATTTGTTTCACATCTTCATTCGGTGTCATTGAAATCGGTAAGTTTTCGCGATAGAACCAATTTCTGTCAGATTTGTAAATCTTAGCAAGGTCGTAAAAGCTTTTGTTGTTTCTTCTGACTAAATGCAACATAACCATATCTCTGTCTTCTTCATTTTCCATCTCTTCAGTATAAATCATATACTTATAGTTCTTTTCCTTTCCTTTTGGTACCGAACGTGGTATTCTTTTCTGTATGTTTTGTCTTCTTTCATCATATCTTCTCTCTGCTTTGTACAAAGTTCGTCAAGTAGCATAAGTATGTAGATTGCATAACGAGGTGAAGCCCACATTGCTATTGAACTAACTAGGAACTTATGAACATATATACCTTTTAGATGTGATGGTAAGTTTTGGTCTGTCTTGGTACATCTTTTTAAGTTCTACATGTTCGAACTCACTGAGGAGTTCATGAGTGCTATTTAATTCAAACCAGTCTTGTGGTTTCTTAGTATCTGGAGCAAAACATGCTGTCAAAATACTTTGCATTTGGTACATGTCATCTTTGACCGAACGAATGAGACGTAACTGTTTGTTATATTGTATGTACTCATATTCTTCATTTATGTCTTCATGAACGATAGCAGTTGTTGTGTTCTCTGATGTTGACATATCTGTCCTTATATTCCGGATAAAAAATATTTTTTTAAAAAAACTAACGTTATTTCCTGACTTTCACAAAAGACCAAAAATAAACGCTTTACATGTATTTTTCAGCAACTCGTCAAATAATTTATAGCACTATCTATCTCATCTACTTCAAACGTTTCTTTACCTTTCGTGGAGCACCATACATTTTCTCAAACTTTTCAAGTAGTTCTGTTTCTGCAGCTCTCATATCGTTAACGAACACAACCTTAACTCTATTGACTATACTGTCATATCTTTGAGTTATATTATATGTTCTTCCTATCTTATATCTCTTTGTATTGAAGTCCTTCGGTTTCTGAACGATGTAAAGTAAGCCTTCACTGCAACGTTCAGTATCGAATGAACCATGTGTTATGAAGTTATATCCAACAACTGGGTCTAACCATAACAAAACTATTGGTATAAGACTTTTGTCTATAAGATATGCTCTTGTTCCATGAAATGCTACTGATATCATAAGCTCAGGATTTCTTGTCAAAATTTTCTGACTAGAAGCAATTCTAACCCAGTCGATTGCTCTCTTTCCAGATGGAGATAAAATGTCTGACAAAGAATATTTTTTGTATTTCTTTGAGTATCTTACGTTTAAATCACCTATTCGAAACCACTTTGGTGTCATTGTCTATCTTTCTAACTGTTTCAAACTCAATGTTGTCATTTTCTGTTTCTTACATACAAGATAAAAAATATTTTTTTTAAAAAACTAACTTTATTTTTTCTATCTTGTATCTTAAGGAAATTCACGATTTTCATGTATAAAAGATATGATTTCAGGGATTTTTTTACGAAGTGTTAAAGTTCTCTTCGTAAAAAAATAACAGTTATATAATGAAATTTGGTCATTTTTTTCACGATTTCAGGGATTTTTTTACGAAGTGTTAAAGTTCTCTTCGTCAAAAAAATACAGTTATATCATGAAATTTGGTCATTTTACTCGGCAAAAATATATTTTAGGTGTCACCAGGTCCCTCGGTCCCTCGGTCCCTCGGTCAACTAACATCTTTTTGAAAATAGTGACAACATGACATTTTGACAACAACACAGGAAATAAACTTCTTCGTACATGTTTTGTCAAGACTTCATCGTCAATGTTTTGTCAAGACTTCTTCATCGTAATGAGCGTAAATCAGACAAAAATAATGTTTAGGTGAAGAGGTGCGATCTCACCTGTTTTTTCACCTGTTTTTTCACCTCTTGAATTTTGTATAAAAGATATGATTTCAGGGATTTTTTTGACGAAGTGTTAAAGTTCTCTTGGTAAAAAAATAACAGTTATATAATGAAATTTGGTCATTTTACTCGGCAAAAATATATTTTAGGTGAAGTGGTGCGATCTCACCTCTTTTCTCACCTCTTTTTTTATAAGCGTTTTACATGAATTGTACGATGTATATTTGAAATTCTAAACAATTTTGTGGCTTCTATTTCTTCGCTGAGGATATCGAATGTTTTAACTATGCCGAAGGTTTCTTTATACTTCTTCTTGACGTCAGATAGAAGGAAATCGTCAGCAGTTGGATAGTTTTTGTTCAGAAATGTCAACATGTCCATTTTATCTTCTGCTGGTTTCTCTGCTTCTTTCTTTAAGTCAGCATAGTCGTTTCTCATACGTTCTATCTCTTTGACAGAATAGTTATATTTCCTTATTGCCGCTTTACATTTAGAACATTGTGGGTTCATTTTAGCATTGTACATTGAAATAAAACCAGCTAGAACAACTAAGGCGTCAATGGTTTTCTTTAACTCAAAAGTTGCGGGTTTTATTTGTTCATTCCATACCTTACCTCTTCTATCTTTATCTCTTATCTGCCATACACATTCAGCAACTAACGAAACAAAGTTGTCGTAGGTCTTAAACTCCTCCGATTTATATATGTCAGAAACATTCTTATATACCATATCGCAGTCTTTGTCCATGACTTTGTGGTTGCAATGAAATCCAAGAAACTCATAGTTTACCTTTCGTATGAACTTCTTTATTTCTACTGAGTCAGTTGGTTTCACTTCTATTTCATCGAATTCTGGAATAGTAAGCTTTTGTTGTTGTATTTCAGGAAGTTTAGGTAGATGGTCAATAATATCCTGCATTTCATAAAGATATTCTTCATTTGTTTCATCTTTTGCAGTGCAATCTAAATCTCCTTGGAGAAGTTCCTGCTTTATCTTCTGGATTTCTGTTTCGAAAGTATATGAAGAAGGAATGAAGCTTTTCATTTCTACTAACATTGAAGTTGGGTTCATGACTAACGAGTTTGGTGCTGTTGTTGCTAACATGTTCTTACAATAAAAATAAAAAATATTTTTTTAAAAAAACTAACTTTATTTTTTATTTCGGGAAAATTCATGAGTTTTGGTTGAAAAAACAGGTGGAGCCAAAAGTGGCTCGACCTCAAAACAAGCATTTTGTGAAGAATATACCAACCGCCGGAATTCCGGCGGTTGCTTTTTATACAAAATTCAACGGGTGAAAGAATACGATGAAGTCATGACAAAACATGTACGAAGAAGTCTTGACAAAACATTTACGATGAAACCTTGACAAAAACATATACGAAGAAGTCTTGACAAAACATATACGAAGAAGTCTTGACAAAACATATACGAAGAAGAAGTCATGAAAATTCAAGAGGTGAAAAAACAGGTGAAAAAGGAGGTGAGATCGCACCTCTTCACCTAAAATATATTTTTGTCTGATTTACGCTCATTACGATGAAACCTTGACAAAACATTTACGATGAAGAAGTCTTGACAAAACATTTACGAAGAAGTCATGACAAAACATTTACGATGAAACCTTGACAAAAACATATACGAAGAAGTCTTGACAAAACATTTACGAAGAAGTCATGACAAAACATTTACGAAGAAGAAGTTTATTTCCTGGACTGTTGTCAAAATGTCATGTTGTCACACTTTTTCAGAGAAGTTAAAATGACCGAGGGACCGAGGGACCGAGGGACCTGGTGACACCTTCAGTTCTTCAAAACATATACGATGAAGTCTTGACAAAACAAGCATTTTGTGAAGAATATACCAACCGCCGGAATTCCGGCGGTTGCTTTTTATACAAAATTCAACGGGTGAAAGAATACGATGAAGTCATGACAAAACATATACGAAGAAGTCATGACAAAACATTTACGAAGAAGAAGTTTATTTCCTGGACTGTTGTCAAAATGTCATGTTGTCACACTTTTTCAGAGAAGTTAAAATGACCGAGGGACCGAGGGACCGAGGGACCTGGTGACACCTTCAGTTCTTCAAAACATGTACGAAGAAGTCTTGACAAAACATGTACGAAGAAGTCTTGACAAAACATTTACGATGAAATCATGACAAAAACATTGACGAAGAAGTCTTGACAAAACATTGACGAAGAAGTCTTGACAAAAACATTGACGAAGAAGTCTTGACAAAACATGTACGATGAAATCATGACAACAACATGTACGAAGAAGTCTTGACAAAACATGTACGAAGAAGTCTTGACAAAACATTTACGATGAAGAAGTCTTGACAAAAACATTGACGAAGAAGTCTTGACAAAACATTTACGATGAAGTCTTGACAAAAACATATACGAAGAAGTCTTGACAAAACATTTACGATGAAACCTTGACAAAACATATACGATGAAACCTTGACAAAACATTTACGATGAAACCTTGACAAAACATATACGATGAAGTCATGACAAAACATATACGATGAAACCTTGACAAAACATTTACGATGAAGTCTTGACAAAACATTTACGTTCATGTTTGACAAAACATTTACGATGAAGTCATGACAAAACATTTACGATGAAGTCATGACAAAACATATACGATGAAGAAGTCATGAAAATTCAAGAGGTGAAAAAACAGGTGAAAAAGGAGGTGAGATCGCACCACTTCACCTAAAATATATTTTTCAATACTTTTTCAGCACTTTTCCGTAGTTGTATATGAAAGACAATTCGAGATAAAAGTCATAGTACAATGGTATAATATGCTGCACACCATTTGTTGTGAACCAAACTTGAAAGTCAGAGAAACTGTTACTAGGTGGTTCGTAGAATTTAGAAGCAAAGTCATAAACGTCCTTACCAATACATAGAAAACTATTGTTGCTTGAACTGAAACTTGCATGACACATAACATTTTGAGGGTCAAACACGTTTCTATAAACTGTCAAATCTGCTGGTGGAAGTATAAATTGAAATGGACCATCTGGTGGTAATGGTTCGTTCTGGTTTAGTAACCGAAGAAATTGTGCCAAGAACGTTTGTCTACTTTCCAAAATAAAAACTCCGCTCTTGGAGGGTTAATTTCAATCTTTTGAAATGAAACGGTGGAGTTCATCTTGTCATATTCTAGTTTCAGATAGTATGTTCCATTTAGTAAAGAGTCGTATTTTTCTTGAAATTCCCAATAGTATTTGTTCATTTGAGTTTGAAAGTCATTTAGAGTTTTCTCAAGACTTTCGTCTGAACGAACTGTAAAGATTCTCATTTCATCAAATTTGTCTATTAGACCATCAGAACCTTTAACTGCCCATGAAATATACTGCGAACATAAATGCGTTAGTTCTATTTGAAAACAAAATCTTCTAAATCCTATTGCCTTTGCATCTGAAGGACTTTGAAGCCAACGAATTGGATAGTCAAACCTGTAAGCTCGGGATGAAATTTCTTCATCTGAAATAGTCATACCAGCATTTGTAAAAGATATAGTCTAACGGTTTTGTATCTGCTACTTTTGTTCTTTGTTTTTCAACCTGAAGCATTTAATATATGTAAAAATATATGGTTTAAAAAACGTTTTTACTTCATATTTCTCATCTAACAAACAGGTTGTCTGACTGCTTGAGGGTTAGGTTGGTACCATTCGAACTGACACTTGCAATTCCTTCAATTGCATTCAAAATGTCTGAGTCGGAGTCAAACATTTGTTCTCTCTTTGTAGTCTTGAAAGCGTCAAGAAGTTTTGCGGCTGTTGTGACATTGCCATTTGCATAGTAAATGTGACCATCCAAATCCGTTATAGTCAATCTGAGATTGTGTCCTTTCTTATTTCCGTCTTGTATGGCAGCAAGTACACCCATGAAGCCTTCTTTGTTCTTTCCTTCGTCAAAGTTTACTGTAAAGGTTCGACCAGATGTAATTTGACTTCTAACTTCACGGTACTTCTCATATGCATATCTTGTTCTTTCCATGGGAGCATGTGCGTCTTCACCTTTTCCTTTTTTCCTTCTCAAAGGATGCAATTGTTCGTCATGTTTCCAGTAGAATCTGGCAAAGCCGTCGTGTCCTTCAACTTGAGGTTCACTAACATCGAAAGGCATGTCCATAAGACGTTCTTCTTCTAACCTCTCTAGTCTGTTTGGATAATTTGCACGTGCTGTTTCCAAATCCATTTCGTAGCGAAGACCAGACAATTTGTCATAGACTTTTATGGGTCTTCCCTTCCTATATTTAAAATTCTTCGAAACTCTCCAACCATATCTTTGTAACTCTGCTTTTATTCTAGCAGATTTTCTATCCATTCTATATGGGGGCATTTAAAAAATAAAAAAATATTTTTTTTCTCTTTACTTTACATAACCGCCCGCTACCATAAGTCTTTGACGCCAACCCATACCAGCTAATGAAGGTTGACTTGGTTTAGTTTGGAAACTAAACTTTGGTTTTGGTTTATCTTCAGTTTTTGGTTTTTCTTCTTCTATCGGTTTTTCGTCACTTTTCGGTTCCGCTGACTTTACTTCACTTGCAGGAATAGTTGTGTCGTCAACATCTTCATAAATATCATATGCCATTTGTTTTTGTTTTCCTTTCAACTTTTTGTGTTTGTTGTAAAGTTTAGAATATTTCGACTCTAAGTCAATGAGATGTTCTATAATGAACTGTTGGTCAGTGAAGTAAACTTTTCCATCTGTTGTCTCGAAAGCTCCTTCAGACTTCAATATTTTATTTGTGAGAGTCTGTTTCTTTTGAGATACTAGCCGTTCCATTTTTATGAAAAGTGACTTTGTAGTTAGGGTTTGTATTTCCAGACCTGGCACTTTCTATTATTGAATTTTTCTCTTCATCTGTAAGTTCTTTGACAGGTTTTGACAATGGTTCTGAACTTTTTGTTTGTGGTGTCAAATCTACCGTTTCAACTTCTTCGGTCATTTCATCTCAGTAAAAATTTTTAGTTTGGTTTGTTTTCAACTGGTTGTTGAGGTTTTTTAAGTCGGTCTAAAACTTCCTGAGGTATAGGAAGAACTTGACAAACACGTTGTGTAACTGCTGGAAGCCGACAAATCCATCTTGAACCCATTTGTCTCAATGCTGTATTGTTCATTTCATCTCAGTAAAAAACTTTACATTCCCCACGTTTGAGGTGGTTGAGGTTGGTTATTGTTTACCCACTGTTGTGCATGGTTATATCCTCTGTTAAAGAATCTTTCACCTTGGTCCATATAGTGTCCTGCTTGGTTATAGTAGTCATTTGCTTTGTTATAATAGTTTCCTGCTTGTCTTCCTACATTGTCCATCCATCCTTGAACTTTTCCTCTTGTTTCAGGATTTGGAATAAGATTTGTTGCATCTCGTGCTACATCCCAACCTTTCTGTACAGTTTGTATAATAGGTTGTGCTTTCTCTTTCAGTATACCTAATGTACTCAAAATCTTCCTTCCAATTCCAAATGCACCTCTGGCTATTGTTCCCACTGCGGGTAAAAATCTGGATGCAACTCCTGCTAACGCGCCAAATAAACCCATTTCTTATGGGTTAAAAAATGACGAATCCAAACAAGGACCCCTATGTTTCTAAAGCGACAAAGAAAGCACTCATGGTAAAAATCTTTAGTTCAACACCAAATGCTTGGTTTATGGATATCTTGGAAAACATTCGAGGTATAGAGAAGATGGACCACCATACTGGCTAA